CTTCTGTTTGTAATCATTTCAGACTTCATCAGACCTGGATATGATAGCTCTTTTGGACCATCCTGTAACGTTCCAACAGAATCCAACTGGTCTCTGAAGCACACTGCAAATGGGCATTCTGGTATCGGAGATTTTTCAGAGAAGTTATTTGGAGGTCTCTTTACAGCTTTATCAGAGCTGTTTTAAAGAATTGTTTCAGAGCTCCCATTTACAGGACTTAGGAACGGTGTAAGATATCGTAATTACTCAAAGAAAAAAGGTTGCTTATGCTGTAGTAACTGTGGTTCTTAGCTGTGTTGTTTGCAAATCGCCAGTGAAACACCTTCCAGAGGTCATTCTTTGAAGTCTTATATCATGTAGATTCTTTTTTAGTGAAGAAACTGGTGGGTGATTTTGGTCACTTTGTCCTTTACACCTGAGCTTAGAGTGTTGTATTTTATGCGAGGTATGTGTGTGGCCCAAGTGGATTTTTAAATAGTAATTTAAACGTATTCCAATCCCACCCACACAGGATACATACACATCAGAAATGGAACACATGAAGAAGGATCAAGTGATCTATCTATCTGCTTGTCTGTCTAATACTTGCCCGCTTCTGTGGCTCCTAACCCTGAAGTAGTTGAGAGTTTACCAATCTTTTATATATTTATTCCAACAACATGACTAGTTTAAGCAAGAATCATAGTTATGATCACCATTTTAAATTAAAAATAATGTAGTCCATTTGATAGCAATACAAATTAATGGATGTAGAATTGCAATTACAAAACAGGTACTGAACACATGCAGTGGCAGTGAAAACCTCTTCACTTCAATTTTGTCCATATTCTTCAATTTAAATTAGTTTCTCCAGTGTGATTTCTTTCCCAATAGAACTACACCATGAAACAAAATCTGGAGGTGAACTCCATTAAGGTAACCATTTGTTAAAGAACTCTAATATTTAAATTTATGAATTTCCATTTTAGATAATATTTATAAAATCTAAGCTACAAAAGCCTATAAGTAAAGAATTCTTATACAATGTCAAATTTCTAAGACCAAAAAGGTATTTTATACTTAATAAATGTTAGTGTGTTCCTTCCTTGTACGTTTTGGAATGGCGAGATTTTGATATTATTTTTCAAGCGTATGATAAATACCAGTAATTACCATTTATGGTACTTGTGCATCTCATGTAAGCATTTGTGAACAATAATTTTTTTGACGTTTGGTTTTTTTTGGAACTTTGTCCATCATTAAATAAACTTAAATAAATCTGTCAAATTAATTTTGGGTGACTTCATTTAAGTTTCTAGAATTATGTTAAGGATAAACTTAATTCATTTTTTCTTGTTCAAGGGCATGACTAACTGTCTAGGCTACCTATATTTTTCTAGTTGCCTGGACAAATGAATAGATGGCTCTGTCCAGTGTGGGGCTGAATTAAACATTTTGAAAAAGGCTGTTGCATGTGCAGCTTTTATATAAAAGTGTGTAAATAATATTTGCCCGCAAAGTAATAGATAGATTTTATTGCACCACTGAATACATGGTTTTACTGAACTACTGTGCAGTGTTGTGTATGTAAGAGTTATAAAACCTTCCTCTTCATGTTTTTAAGTTAGAAGTTATTTTGGAGAATAAATGGTCTTTTATATAAATGACAAAATAAAAAAGGACTTATTTTAGATCAGTGGTTCTCAACTGGAGGGCCACGGATCCCTGGAGTGCCACAAGAGCCATTAAAGGGTGCAACACAATATTGGCCCTGTTAGATGTGCAAGCACATGCACATGATTCACAAGATAAACCCAGAGATTTTATACAGGAACCCATAGTGTTAGAAATATTTTAATCCATTGTGGACATTTTGAGTTCTTTGCAATAGAATTGCTTCATATTTTTTCTGTAGTCAAAAAAAGAAGAAAAGCTAGGTGAGAGCTGGTATATTCTGAGGTGTGCCTCGAGTTGAACAAGGGATTCCTTGAAGGTTAAAACAGTTTATAACTATTTTTCTAGGTGTATCTATAAAGTTAGTAGCTATTTTGAGTTTTGTCTTTTGAACCAGTCATGTATATATTGAGATAATAATGATTGGGGTTAATAAGTTGGGTTGGGTTGAGTTGATGTCAGTTAATAGTTAGGTTTCTTTGAGAAGTATTTAAACTAACAATATGTACTCCCATCTTTTGACATAAAATTCAAGGTATATGTATTCTCGTGTATTAGCTCCACTTCTGTGAAGCTGGCCTAGAGCAGGGTTTTCAACCTTTTAAAATCAAAGTGCCCCCAGTGGCCAGATGTGGAGCAGGGGGTGGCATGTGGCTGGACACAGAGCGGGGAGGTGGGGACAGCACACGAGTGGGCAGGAACAGAGTGCCACCACCTCCCAGGAGCAGGGCTGGGATGGGGCAGGGAAACTCAACGGGCTGGGGTGAGGGCAGCGGCACCCCTCTATGGAGTGGGGAAGCTCACCAGGCTAGTGGATGGTGGCAGTGAAGAGGGGTACCACTGCCCTTGCCCTGCTCCTGGGAGGTGGTGGTTCTCCTTCCCCGCCTGCCCCCATCTACCCCCTATGACTAAGTACCCCTGGGGGTATGTGTACCTTCGGTTGACAACCCCTGACCTAGAGCATTAGGCATGGACAGGGATTTGCCTGGGCCACCTAGGGTTAAGAAAAACACTGGCCGGGGCTGGGTGGTTGTGAATCAAGGAGTATATTTCAATTGCAACTGAGTCTGCATGGGATATGGAAGAGAGTAAAAGCTTTCCTAATTCTGGGGTCAGCTGTAGGGGGAATTATATATGTTCAATAGTTAGTAAAAGATGTTTTCAACATGAGCTCAGCAGCTGATTTCTCCATTGATTTTTAAATATTATCTAAATCTTTTATAAGCCAAATGCACATTCCTAGCTCACAAGAAATTTGATTTTTCTAAAATAATAATAATGCTATCCTGAGTGATATATAATTAAGATATCCTTTGACAGTTCTAAAAAATGTAATTCAGATTTGCCGGATACTTTTTTCCGTGGAATCAGTTTGGCATGTCTTTGGTTACCCATTATTATTATTATTATTATTATTATTATTATTATTATCTTATAATTATAGAGTATTACCAAATACCTTCTATTTTAAATAGGCCTCTAGAATTTTTAAGGAAGTAAAATGAAAAAAGTTTTAAGGATTTATAACACTTTAAGAAGATAAACTGAGATTTTTGTGAATCTTTGAAAATGAATTGTTTAAATAAAGAGCAATATTTGTCTAAATTATTTACATTATTTAGTTTAATTGAGATCTATTTGTTTTATGCAAATACACTTCTATAATTTAAGCTGTAATTCTGATAGTGATGTTCCTGTGATGAGTGTCTTCCAGAAACAAACTGAAGGAGGACATTAGGAGGACATTATGATTAAGGCACTATACTAAGATTCAGGAGATATACAGGGTTTATTTTTCAACTTTTCTAAAGCCTTCCTGGGTAATGTTGAACAAATCAGTTTATTCACTTTGTCTCTATCCCTCATCTGTAAAATAGAATCTCATGATACTTCCTTAATCCACAGAGATAATGTGAGGATAAATATATTAATGTTTGCAAGCTGCTCAGATTTTACTGTGAAGAGGGTCATTTCAATACTAAGATATATTTGTTTGAATATTCCTGTCTCTGTGATCATTATTGCAGGAATAATATAAAAATGGTAAAGAAGCACAATACTTGTGTTTATGTGGAATGCAGTTTTATTGGTGTGTACTACATATTTTTTGAGGACTAATGCACGTATACATTCACTCGTCGGGTTGTTTGACATGTAACTCTTACAATCAGCTTATAATTAAATAATAATTGTGTGGGAGGTGGTTTCTGTTAATGGAATAAACTGGTAACAGTGTTAATTTAGTTCTCACAGTTGCTAAGGGATGTCCAGCTCCTCGGCCATTATTGATAGTATAACCTTAATAGAATATTCATCCCATTTACGCCTACTGAACCTTATTTCTATGAGTTGAACCTGATTTGCATGTATTTACATTATCCATTTCCCCCAGCAGTTAATGACCATTAACATAACCATTAAAAAACCAATTTTATTTTGAGTTTTTTTAGGCTTTAGGTTTGTTTTTTTTAGATATGCTAGAGCTGACAGTGACTGAATAGAAGTATGTCAATTTTTTTAACAAAATAGGACATGCAGATTTCTTCAGCTTTCAGCAGAATAGATGAATTCAGATGAAAATTGTATTGACAAAACTATATATTTCAAAGATGTGCAAGCAGTGGGGAAATCACTATTAATTCACCCTGAATGCAGTTTTGAAGTATTGAGCTCAAGCCAAAACCAACAAGCATTATTTGTTGTATTTGACAAAGTGTTTCATGTTTTTCTCCTTTTGTTTCGTAGAAAATTTCACCTTGGGTAGGTTTACGCAAGATCAACATCTCTTATTGGGGATGGGATGATATGTCTCCTTTTACAAACACAACACTGCAGTGGCTTCCTGGAGAACCAAATGACTCTGGATTCTGTGCCTATCTAGAAAGAGCAGAGGTGGCAGGCCTGAAAGCAAACCCATGCACTGCTATGGCAGATGGTCTTGTCTGTGAAAAACCTGTTGGTGAGCAACCTTTTGTACCATAATATTGCTATTAGAATGATGGAACAATCTGTTGTTTGGGGTTGTCATATGGTACAGCAGGAACGTTGGAAAAGTTCTAGTAAATAACTGCAGGAAGGTTTTACTTTAATGTTTAAAAAAATGTGAGGCCTTTTAATCGTGGAAAAAATGGTATTTTCAAAAGCAGTATGTTTTTCTTTGAGAGCTATCCCACCTGGTATAGTGTGCATCACACCAGCTCTTTTAGCTGTGATTTCCAATAGAGAATTAATGCTGTTATGTTTGAGCTTCTAATGTGAGATGTTGTACAGCCGTTACGTTTAACAAGGCTGATGCTGCTAATATGAATTTCATTACTGAACACCACATAACTTCACAGATTCTCCATTTTAGTCGTGCAGAAGAGTTCCAAAACCAAAGCTTCTGTACATATCTTCTCTCTGGCCAATGTATGAAGGGCTCAATTCTAGCTTATAGCAGCAGAATGTAGTTTGCGACTTTAATAATGTTTATAGACTTAGCTGAGAATTTGGAAGAGAAATTGTCAGTTGTCATTCCTGGGAAAGGAGATCTACTGTTGCCTGCAGTGTTTAAAAATTAACAGATTACATTGCCACCAGAAAAATCTTCATTCTCTTGGTACAAGTTGTCCCCGTACAGGTGTTTACTGTTTTTCATGGAGGAAACATGGCCCATTCACAAGAAAAATCTTTAACTTTGTCACCTGGAGAGAGTTTCTCTTGCTAGATAAACCCCTGCATGCTTCACTCCTCCATGATCAGGAGGAGTCCAGCTGCTGCTGCTCTCCCAGCCTTCCCCAGACCGGAGTAACTGGTTGACTTCCGGAGGTCTGCGACTTCTGACTAACATTATGAAGTCTTACGTTGTCAAACATGTCAAGTTCTGTAATTAAAAGACATTCCTGCCAGATTCTTAATTTCTTATGAACAAGAAGTTTCACTCCTATTCCAAATAGCAGTGGCATTCACAAAGTAAATGTATACAGCTATCTTCTTTGTCTCTGTCCCTTACAATACTGTTTACTCTGTAGTAACAGATGCAGTAATCTGCGGGATTTTCTCTCGCTAGGAAGAGCAAACAGCTGCAGCTACATCATAAAGGTTGATGTTGGGTATCTGTGGAATTCAGATGAAAAACTCCTGTGTTAGAGTATTTTCAAAGAACAACATCTGAATCTGCACCTGTTACTGATACCAGTTTCGTTTGATATTGAACTGTTTCAGGGGTAATGGATATCAGGATACATAAGGGTACCTGGGTAAATATTTTGAGTTCAATCACTTTTTATTTGTTTTTGAGTTTTAGGGTACTGTCTTGAATTTGTGTGTACAGCGAGATAAATTCTGAATTACTGCCTCAGTTTTCACCTGTCTTTTGTGCTCCTAAATTATTTTCAGTGTTGCTGTAGCAGGGCTGAGGAAGGATGTTTATTGGCTAGATAAAAAACTTGTTTTGAATAAAGTAATACAAAAAGTACATAATAATACCTATGTGGGATTAGGTCAAATTTATCACAGAAACATTTGCAAAACCCTTTTGTTAAAGAAAAATATAACTATATATTTTTATGCTCTCTGCTTAGTTAAGAATTACAGTACTCCTGCTAGTGCTCACTTTACAGTTTTATTTTGAATAAAGCAAACAAACGGTTTTTTCCAGTACAGCTTTTCAGAGTTAGCAGAGACCACTAAGTTAGAATGCTGTTTTACAGTAAAACATGTTGGTATACTAAATGATGGGGTTTTGTTGTTGTTTTGTCTTTGTATTTGCATTGACATTCTTTATATACCCCAGGGGCAGGTTTTCATTTGACAAACAGCATGCTTATGTAAGATGCACTTAGGTAAGATGCAGAATGTTTAAAGGAAAATATATCACCGGTAAAATAAATAACTGTGGTTTATGCACTACTTAAAGAGAGCAACAGAATCAGAAGGTCACAGATTGCTATACCCGTTACAGTATGTTGAATCATAGTTTATGTAATATATGTGCAGGTAACTAAATTGGCATTACTGAGCAATGAATACTAAATTTACTTATGCTGTACATAAGTAAAATTACTATAATCTCTTTTAGATGAACTCTTTGCAGCTATTATGTGACTGAGGATGACTACACAAAGGAATATTGAGAGCTACATAGTAATTTTTGTAAAAGCTCATTTGTATTTATATACTTCACCATGAGTATGGCTTAAACTGTTCTGTGTTAAACAAGAAACCCGTCACTCTTATTTTAATAAGTGCTAGGGCATAATGTTAAAAGTAAAAAAAAAAAAAAAAAATAGACTGGGTTTGTATTAAATATATACTTTCTTTCTGTTTTTTTTTTTTTTTCCAGTTAGCCCCAATCAAAATGCTAGACCATGCAAAAAACCATGTTCCCTGAGAACTACATGTTCCAACTGCACAAGTAACGGAATGGAGTGTATGTGGTGTAGCAGTACAAAACGCTGTGTTGACTCGAATGCCTATATAATCTCCTTCCCATATGGACAGTGCCTAGAGTGGCAGACAGCCACCTGCTCTCGTAAGTATTTAAGTGGAAGGAAGACTCTTTAACAATGCATGATTAATTTTTTCACCCAATAAAGCAATAAACCTTTGAATAAAATCCCATAGCCTTAGGAAAGGAAAGTTTATTAAGATGGCATTATGTAACCTATTAATGTCAGCAGTTGATATTTTGTGCAAGTTTTGTTTATCCAGGTATAGTATTGAAGAGTTTTGATGGTAAGAATACTATTAATTCTTTTAAATCAATTCATGGTTTCTTGTCAATTCATGGTTTCTTGTTTAATATGAGGAAGAAATTCTTGGTTTTTGCACTGTATTATTTACTTCCAGAGTCACTGTTGTAACATGCAGAACAGATGCCCCTGGATGAAAATTAAATGTGGATAAAATTAAGAACCATAGCATATATTTCAGATACTCAAAAATCAGGTTGTTTAAAAAAATAAGGAGAATTCCTAAACTGCCACTTCTGGGACCCTGAGATACTTTTGTTAGCAGAACAAGAGAAGTCCACTTTCCTATCTAGGGAGAATTGTAAATTTTCAGCAAAGGGATAATGATTGCTGCAGAAATCAATTAGCTGAGTTGCTAGCAGGAACCTTGCCTATGATGCTTTTTTAAAGCATGGTTTCAGTTCTAAAAAAAGGGTCTGATTCAGGTGTGAGCTGAGGACTAGGACTGCTTGAACAAGCCTTGTTTCCATGTATGCTTCCAAACCCTGCCTTTAGACGCTGGTTCAGGGCAAGCAGGCCTTGTTAAGGATGAAGTGGTAAGGAATGATGTGTGATTTCCTCTCATTTGCAACAGAGTAGCCTATAAAGGGATTGATAATGCTGTAAATATGCAAAGGTTTTAAAGTTTGGTACATATTTTTCTTCTATAACAATTCAGGAAAGTCTTTTTGTTTGTTTCAAAATGACAAATTAAAATAAAAATGTTCCAACAAATATTAATTTTAAAATGACAGCATAAACCCACAAGACCAAAAATTTGGAGGTAAAAAGTGCCTTTGTTTTTAACAATGACATGAACTGTAGATGGAAAATTAGCTTTCACTTTGTACTTTCTGTTTTTTCCTTGGCTTGTGTTATAACTACACTTAAATAACTTGCACGTTTTGCGTATTTGAAAACAACCATGTGCCTTCTATTTGTGCAGGGATAACAAAAGTACTGTGTTTTAATTTAGTTGTCATTCAAGGCAGGTCTGTAAAATTTTATATTAAATAAACCAAATGGGATTTGCTGCATGTCAGTTCAATATCATATAGAAGCGCCTTTCCCTGAAATTGTGTTCTCTATCTAGCCAATAAAAAAAAAATTCAATTTCCATGAGCAGGCATTTTATCAGCCTTAAAGCATTTGAAATTTTGAGCAGAAAGCAAGAAAACGAATATCCAAATCTGATTTTTTGCTAATTATGTAAAAAAAAAAAAACCCCAAAAACCTCCGGGAGAGAGATATTTATTACTACTAACATATATATTTAATTAATACGGTATAAATAATATAAATAGGCTTTTCCACTTGTTAAGTATGTTTAGTTTTTATTCCTTGTTTGTTTACAGAATAGTTTTCAATTATAGCTTAATAAAAGAAATAACATGTCTACATTTAATTATTGTGTTATGACTCAGTGCTGAGTTATTTGAGTGTTTAACTCTATACCAAAGGGCAACTTGACACAAGCATTCATGGGTTAAAAGACACAAAATATCACACTGAATGAACGCAGATGAAGACTGCTAATTTATTTTCACAGCATAGAAGAGAAATGAAGAGCACTGTTCGATTGATGATATTTAGTCATTTTAAGACCTGCGTGCCAGAAAAAAAATCCTTCCACTCTTTATCACAACTTCAAAGTGTTACAGTCTGAGAATGAATTACTGGTGGCTGGGTACTCATGGCTGGCCTATAAGGGTTCAGAAAAGAGATTGTCCTCCTCCAGTATAAATCTCCCTCTACACCTTGTTGCTTTCTACTTTTGTTCTTTTCAGCTTTACAAACCATTGTAACTACATAGAACATCAAAAGTTTTTCATGTTTTGACTGCTTCCTTCTCTCTTATGAAGACCAAAGGTTGAAGGGCAGCTATTAAGTACAGGAGTTTTTGCTTGACTGCCTGCATCTCAATGGTGTCTTGGAAGTGGATCATGTGGTATTCCTGTAAAGCCAAGGCAGCTCTTTGAGACTGGTGTTGCGCATATTTCTGCAACTGCCACTGTTTACTGCATTAACCATAAGCAGGGATCCAGTCCAAAGATCTATTCCATTACTGACAATAGGCATAGACTTACCAGACTGACCCTGAAAAGATAAAAGGCAGCGCCATGTCTTCATCACGGATGATGTACAGTTGTGTCCCTCTACTTTTACAGCATTTCTGTATTCATGGCTACATTGAAAACACTGGATGTCTGCCAAGAAATTTATGGCTAGCTTTTTATTTCTTCCCCCCAGACAGTGAACACTATCCTTTCTAGCACCAGTAATGATTTTAAATGTATTCACCAGTGGAGTGTAGAGCTGTTCTGTAATAGTTGTCTTTGCATTACTTTTAGCATCCCTGCTGATTTCAGGGGGCATTATAGTCTCTTAATGTCAGTAATAGTAATATAAGCAAACACTCACAAGAATAAATTCCTCTGTCTTAAACTAAGGACGTTGCCTCAAAGAAAGTCCCTGAAAAGCATATATTTGAATGGAAACTACTTCTGAAACTGTATCTACAAAGGGACCATGTGCAACAAAATGCCAGTTCCCTCTAGCAGGTTGTTTTTGGTTTTTTTCCATCGTCGTTTCTTATTTAATATTTATAATGTTCACACAGATTATAGTCTCCGTGGTAAAGTCTATGCTCTTTCAAGTGATTGACCCTAGGCACTTTCTACCACGGAAGTGTGTGCACCTTATTCATCTAAGTTTGGAAGGATGCCCATATGATGTTCATGTGCCTTTCAGCTCTTGGTGTTTGTCACCAAAGGCATAAAGGGTGGAATGCACCTACCAGCTCAAAGTGGAGCTTTCTGCTGCCTTCATTAAGTGCATAGGAACACATTTTTGTACAGCTTTGACTTTTTTTATAGCTTGCTTGACTAGTTATCTAGTTCAGTGCAGTTAATATTACTTTGCTGCTCTTTGGCAATCTGCGAGACTATTTTTAGTAAAATAGTTACTTTGGGTGTCTGTACACGAATGATCAGAGCCTGGGAAATGAGCAGGAACAATTGGAAGTCCTTACGCAGTCATAAAACTACGATGTGACTGGAATAAGAGACGTGGTGGGATAGCTCAAATGATTTGAGTACAGTCATAGATGGGTACAAACTGTTCAGGAAGGACGGGCAGGAGAGAAGAGGAGGAGAAGTTGATTTTTATGTAAAAGAGCTGTATGATTCCTCAGAGCTCCAGTGTGAAAATGGAGATAGGCCTGTTGACAGTCTCTGTTTAGGGTCAGAAGGGAGAGCAACAAGGGTGATGTTGTGATGGGGGTCTGTTGTAGACCACCAAACCAGGAGAATGAGGTGCAAGTAGTTCTTCCTAATATCTAACCTAAACCTATCCTCCCTCAGCTTGTGGCCATTGCTTCTGGTGACCCCAAGGGGGGCCCTGGTGAACAGAGTTTCCCTAAGTCCCTGGACCTGTCTGTGCCCTGCAACCTGGCTAGCTACTATGTGCTCTGCAGGCTCTTTGTATAGGGTTGCACTGTGGCAGTGGGAAGATCACACGTCTGATGATGTGAGGGAGAGTTGGCTTGGTGCCAGAACTGCTCCCTGGGCAAGTAGAGTTCAGGGGTTAGAAAGTTTGTCCACAGAGAACAGGAGGGTAGGGAAGGGGGCACTATATCCTGGGAAGCTGGAGGACTGCATCTTGGCTGTCTCATTTTTGGGGAGTGGCCACACGTTAATGGAATATGAGCTGGGTACGAGAGATCAGAGAGAAACCTGCCCTGGAGTGGTTTAACCTTAGAGTGCCTAAAGTGTGCTTAAAGCTAGTTCCAGTTGTTAATGTGTGGATAATTCATGGGTTAAAAGGCCCAGAAGCTGCCTAAAATTAACGTGTAACAAGTCCACTTATGTTATGGGGGTTTTTTTTTACTCCCACTTCTAATAGAAGTCTGTTCCAGAACCTCACTCCTCTGAGAGTTATAAATCTTATAATTTCCAATCTAAACTTTTCATAGCAAGTTTTTACCTTTTTTTTTTTTTCTTTTTCTTGTGCTAGTGTTTTCCATATCATAAATAGCTCTTCTCACACTTCATTCCCCTGACGATGCTAATGGACCCTCTCTGTACATGCTCTAGTTTGAATTAATCCTTGAGCATCACTGACCAGAAGGGTACACAGTATTCCAGATGAGTTTTAACCGGTTCAGTGTACGTTAATACTTTTCTGTTTCTAAAGGAAATGCCTTTTCTGATCCATCCTTAGCATTTGCTTATTTCATGATTTCACCACAGTGTTGGCTTAGTCATCTGGTGATTGGCTGATGCACTTTCCTCTTCCACTCCCATGCCAACTGCTGAAACCTCCTTAGCCTGACGAAGGTTTTTTGAACCCAAACGCTTGCTTAATAATTGTTTTCCAACTATTTAAGTTGGTCTAATAAAAGATATCAGATTCACCCAAAGAACCTTGTCTGCGCGTGTGTAAAGCACTGCTGGATCTGGGGAAAAAGAAGTTAATTCCTCTGTTGGGTGTTGATAGCAATAGTTGAAATTTGATTTTTCTGCTTTGTTCTCCTTTCATAGTCTCAAGACTTCCCCTCTTTGCCTGTGGTATAATCCTCATGTGGCTTCCATGACTATTTGGTTCAGTGATGCATGGGACATCCTCTTACTGTAGAGAAACATACTACCAATAACACAAAATATATGTGGATTTAGCATAAGTATTGGAATGGATTTTGTGTGCGCACAAATTGTAGTACTCAGTTTTCTGTGTACTTATTTTATTTTTGTTTTTCTTTTATTGCTATAACCTTTTTTGGTAGCAACATTCATTTACCTGTCTCTCAAAATCATAATTTGGTTCCAAACAAATTATGGAAGCATTCTTACTAAAATATTTTGGGAATGGTAATAGTCTGTGAAAAGAAGAAATTTTAATGGAAACTACATCTTGAGCTGAAGCAGAAATGTGCTACACTTGATTTAAAAAAAACCAAAACTTGTGTTATTTTTATGCTATCTGAAATACAGCTCAAAACTGCTCTGGATTGAGGACCTGTGGGCAGTGTTTGGAGCAGCCTGGATGTGGATGGTGCAATGATCCCAGTAATACAGGAAAAGGGCAGTGTTTGGAAGGATCTTCCAGAGGACCAGTGAAGCCTGCCGGGGTGCACTCTCATGAAATGGTCCTTGAAACTAGTCTGTGCTCAAAAGAGAAAAATTATGAATGGTCTTTCATTCATTGTCCAGGTAAAACCTACAGATTTGTTTTATTTTGTCTCTTTTTTCTTTATTTGAAGGTATCCCTATAAGAATGCAAATGAACTAGAAGGCGTAGGTTAGTGATGAGTAGCTGATTATCTCTGATATAAAAATGTCACACCAGAAGGTATCAAATGTGACGTTTTAAAAATAATCAGGCTTTGCTTGTGTTCCAGTTTTATGAAAAAAGAAACAAATGCAACAAAAATTCACATTTGGAAATAATTCTACACCTGCTAATTTAGCAATTGAAATTTGGTTCCCATTTGCTACGGCACATTTTTTCCAAAAAGCTTTCTGTGAAAAGATTGAGACATAGTTGTACAGGCTCATGTAAGAAGAAATGTTAATGCAGCCCCTTTAATTTACTATAGAGGATCCTAATAAATGTGTAATTATGATTGTGTGTACACTATTCAAGTTGTTCTGCTGTTAAACTAAGCTTCATAGCATCTATGAAGCATCTAAATGTGGCAAGTTTTATTTATATATATAAATGGCCTATCTGTCTATCTATAGACCATGTTTGTGGTATCAATACCTTATAGCAACAGAACTCTGAAATATCAAGCTGGCTATGTTACTAGGTTAAAATGAACAATAAATATCTTTTAAATATAAATGTAAGTCTGTTTAATATATTTTATGAAAATGGGAAGCAACCCAGGACAGTAAAAACTTGCACTGAGATGTTAGCTGGCGTGCAAAGATAGATGCCCTGTACCAGCCCACTCTGGAAGTTAACTGCACAGATATCTGGTTACAGAATTTACAGCTGCTGAAGCAAGAGAACATTATAAACTCAAGAGGTTTAATAGCTTCAGAGCCAAGCCTGGCATTGGTTGTTAAAGCATTCTCAATTCTAAGTGAGCTCTTAAAACCCGTTAACTCTACAGTGAGAATCCATTTAATTTATCTAGCTATGGTGTTAGTCTTTAGAGTATATAAATGATAAGCTCAAATTACAAAAAAAGGATCTTTGAAATTAGATTTTCAGTCGATTTTAATTTTCTATTTCCCTCTATTCTCCCCCCCGTCCCCCAGATGTCCCTTTAATTTTTTTAATCCGTTTCCCTTGCCTTATTTTCTTCAGTACCTGTTATTAGGGGAGGGCTCTTGAATACAAGGTGTGTTTGGAGCTGGGCTCTGTGAACATTTATACAAGGGGCTTATCACTATCTATTTTTTTCAGACCAATCCAGAATCAGGGGTTCAGGAGCTAACGAACAGAGTGTCTCCGACTATCCAAAAATGTTACCTTAAGTAAAGTGTAATGGGCACTTCTGCCTATATGTCTGCCTATTCCATCATTGTAGTTCCTTTGTTTTAAAAACGCCTTTGAATGTAGAGAGGTAATGTTATTTTCCTCATCTAGAAGCCGGACGCAGAAATGATAACTTATTAAAGGCCACGTAGGAGCTTGTAGCAGTGGCAGGTGCTTTGCCCAGCCTTAGCCAAAAGGTCATCCTTATAATTGGCTTCTGGTAACTGGTCCAGCTCCCATTGTGGGCAGTTGTGTCTTGGGCAAGCTGTGTTTTATCATTTGGTCTCAATTTAGAAACCCTAATTAGAGGAAGGAACAATATTCCAGATTTGGGGCAATGAGTGCTTGGTGCTGTGTTGGCTGGTGTTCAGTGGAGGGGAATGTATGTTGAATCAGTAATTTAGAAGACATATTTCTTCTGTTACTAAACTTATCAAGTAGAAGAGAAGAATCCAATACATTCTGTTTTTAGAACTGGAGCACAGAAACTTTCTATTAAATTAGGACCTAACCTGTGGATGGGCAAAATACGGCCCATGGGCCAGATCCTGCTCACCAAGTGATTGTATCCAGTCTGTAGGTGCCAAGTGGGTGGAAGGTGACCAGAGCAGTGCAACATGGGTAGCAGGAGGAGGAGCCAGTGGAGGCAGGGGGAACCAACCAGTACCCAGACAGTCCTGCCAGGAAGCTGCATCTAGTGCCAAGGCCAGGGCTATTGGTGGGCATGGGTGAGTGTGGGTGCCCCTGAGCGGGAGCAAGTGGGGTTCAGTCCCATGCAGAGTGCCATGGGGACAGCTGTGGGCCAGATGGGGTGGGGGCATCAGGGTGGCTTTCACTGCACAGGCAAATTCTGCTGCATGTGTTCCCGCCTGGCTCCCAGGACCTACCATGTGGGCAGTCTGTCCACACATGAGCACACACCTCATATACTTACCCACACAATATAGAAGAGTAAGACATTATTTTGAGCTATTATGCAATTGCCTCTATATACACTATTAAAAAGAAAACCATAAATCAGGACAAAAATTATTTTTTGAAATAAAATTAGTTACAGTGAATGTTTGAATTTTTTTTTTTTTTTAAAGAATCTGATTTGTTTCTATAATTTGTTAAAATGAGATCTTCTGAAAGATTTTATGTATGCAGCCTTCAACAGCTCGCCATACTTGTTAAGTGGCCCGCCAGCCAAAATAGTTGCCTACTGTTGCCCTAACCCTTAAGTTTTTATCATGTTACTCAAAGTGTTATCTCCTTCATGCTAGCACTTCTAACATCTTCCTCATTTGAAAGGCAGTTTTTGTTTTTTCAGTTACTATTTCATCTACAGAAGATAGCGCTATCCATGTGGATTTCAGAAGTGTATGTTTAGGTGGTATCAGTATTTTGGTGCCAGTATTTTGTGGATGTGGCTTTACACAGCTTCTCACAGAGATCTTATCTGTTGAAAAGGAGAGAGGATAAGCTTTATCTTTTCAGACTTCACATATAAGGGCTCTCGGAAAAGAGAAAACATTTCCTATCCAGTCTTTGGCATACGTTTGTATAACTGCTGTGGTCTTGCCCAAAGACCAACAGCATTCAGGAATTGACTGTTTTGGAGACAGCTCAACTAGTTGAGTGTTGAGGTTCCCATGTGCTCTCATCTGTAAAGAGGGTACATATCAACACCACTAGCTTTCTCTCCTTCCCTCTTCCTGTTTCTGATGAGTCTTGACTTAAGGGGTGCAGTACGCTGCAAGAGCCGTATGCTTTATGTCCTTTTGTTGCATGGTCAGCACTACTTTTTCCATACATTTGCCTAAGGAAAAGCAGGTTGGCATTTAGCTTGTTTGCAAGATTGGTAGAATCTAGTGCAGGTTTCCTGAAAACCTGTTGTACTATTGTGTGCTTTTAGGTGTTGCGGGCAGTGGCAATACTAATGGTCCTTGTTTCACCTGCAAAGATGAGCAGAGTTTGGAGTCATTTCAGATGATCTTCTTGTCACTTAGAGCTTTCGGGGCCAAACCTGTTCAAAGAAACTGGGATGGGCCATAGTTTGTTGTATTAGTAGATTCCACTGATATTTCGTTGTTTTTGTCTAGCACAGTAGAATGTGAGCTCTTTATAATTGGTGGCATTTAGGGAAAGCAATTAAAGTTAATCATCTGGCTGACTGTATGACTGGTTTTTAAAGTAACTTGATAGAGTTTATGGCAAAGGAGGAGGCAACTTTTAAAGATAGGAACTGCATTTAGTTAGTAAAAGCGAGTCAAAGGTTGTTCTCTTGTTCCTTAAACCATCAAATGACCATATACTCAACATTTCTACGGTGTTGAGAATTTATATTTTGTAACAATCCTGTTTTAACTTGGTGTCATGTTATTTTATATATACACAAATTGGACTCTTAAGTCTGAAACGTTCAGAATTGTTGTGGTCACTTAGTAACAGCTTTATTCTCAGAACCGAAATGGTAATGGCTGTTTCAATTTTTATATTCCAGCTTGCCAGTGTAATGGACACAGCACCTGCATTAATGGCAACGTTTGTGATCAATGTAAAAATCTAACAACAGGAAAACAATGTGAAACATGCATGCCAGGATATTATGGAGATCCAACAAATGGAGGACAGTGTACAGGTATGTATCTTATCAGGGAAAAAGAAATTCTTCCTTTTAAGAGATACCGTCATTCTTGTAAAATGATTTTTTATCAATTGCTAAAATATTCATTTGGCAGACTAAATGGTCTGAGCAACTAAACTAGAGATTTGGAGTCCAGATTCAGCTTTCTTAGTGAACCTTCACATTCAGAAATATTATGAAAGAATTATAATTTTATATACAAGCACTTTAGGGCTAGGCTGTGGCTTTAACACTCCAGGCAGGAGACAAATGCTGTGCAATGACAGTAACGTCTGAAAGTACCGTGGCTAAGGTTGGTAGCACATCTTAGGACAGATGAGGGAGTATACCCTTACCTACCTTTTCATAGTGTCAGCTGCCAGCGTGGCTGCTGAAACGCTGCTGTCCTTCTGTGCCTGGAGTCTGATAGGGCCTGGCACCTACAGAGCATCTTAGCGAGTAGTGTGACAAGTGCCTTGTGCTCTGCCCCCTTTCTTGTGCACCTATGAAGGACTGAGTCAAATTTAATCTCACTAAATTTGCTTTAACTTGTAGGAGGCTTTCCACATTGAAAGATAATCATCTTGCAACATGTTCATTCTAAAGAGTAAAATAAAACAGCTGTTGTTTTTTTTTTATAAAGTGAATTCCTTCTCCAAATAGCGACAGTTTAAGAATGCCAACTTGCTCAACAGATCTGCTGTCTGCATGTGTTCAGAGTCATATCAGTTGGTTTTAGTGCTTTCTACCTTTGTTGTCACTCAGGAGCCAGCACAGCTGAGACCACGAGTGAGCAGGACTCTCCTCCCTTCTGTGAATAAGTAATGAATCTGTTTACTATGTTCCAGTCTGTTGCATCTGGTCTTATCCTGTTGAAAGCAGTAGGGCTCCAGAGGTGTCAGCGAGATTATAATTTGAAGAGAGCAGAGAATGCACCAGAGCAACAAAGGGCTTCTCTGCAGAACCTCTAGTTTCAGTGATGATGATGCACAGGAAAGAAAGAATCTGGTTTTCAAAGCTTTATCTGCTGGGCTGCCTGCCTGGGAGAAAGATATGTTTAAACTGAAGCTGTGTGACATGGTCATTACAGGGCAAAAAGCATGCAGTTTTAACAATCAGCATATTTAGAAATAAAGGTGCATTTTTAAGAGCTTCTGAAACCGTATCCTTATGCCACTAAAATTGCTGTTTAGATTGCTAACTCCTTGGGTTAAAGGAACCACATCATCTTCTGTTTTGTACAGTACCAAAATCACTATTGGCTTTACATTGTACACCTTCATTCATAGATATAGAAGACAATAAATGTAGAAACACAGTCTCTTTCCCTGATCTGAGGGATGCATGATTTTATCTTGGCCTACATGATGGGATGGTGGTTTGGCATAAAGTTGGTTTTGTTGCTGGTTTGGCTTGGCCCTCATAATTCACTGGTGGTTTCCCCACATAGGCAGTGCAGCCTTTCCATAATTTTGTTTTAAGATTTTATAGGTAATGTGCTATAAATGCTTGTTGGTTTGGTAACAAGTCAGTTTGAAAATATACAGTAATAGCTGATTAAAATCCATGAACAGGCTCCTGTTGTCTTACTAATACTTGGTTTGAACAGAAGAGCCCAGTCTGATAAAGGTTACAAGTAACCCTATTTTACTGAGTCTGTTTAGTTCTGTAATTACACTGGAGGATTCCCTGTTGGAATGAGTTTTTTTTATTCCAAATGGCATTTGCATATTGCCCCTGGGCTGTTTTCTCCCTTGCACTAGTGATTTTAAAGCCTGTAATGTCTCCTCCTATATTTAAAATACGGAGATATTTTTAACCCCAGCAGTAGTTAAATTGGAGGAAGGAGGCTCAGTCTGGCAGCTGGAAATATATATAAATGTGCAGGTGACATTTATGCCCTGTAGCCATGACGATTATTTTAGAGGACTCTTACTCCTCAAGGGATATTAACTCTCTGAAGGGCTCACCTCTGCCTCAACAGATTAACAGGTTACATGAAACTGCACATCTGGTAAACCTAAGCACAGCGTGCTGAAAATATGTGCAAGGGGATGGAAAGATTAATGTCTACCCTTATTGACAGTTGCACATTTTCCTTGTGCTTTATGAAGCTTTAAATAATTCTTAATAGTTCTCTTATTTCCTGAAGTTGACAAAATGCTCTTTTGCTGTCTACAGCACCTTTATGGCAAAGTGATGTATTAAAGTAGCTTTTATTCTTTAGGGACACATTAGCTATCTAACCAAATAAGCATTCCATCACCTTTAGTGAATTATGTGTAATGCAATAATGGCTAAAATCAATTTATAAGACCTGTAAAATTATAAATTTGACCACGTGTTTCTGCAGCCTGAGTTATGTATTATGGAGGGAGTTCTTTTTTTATTGGTAGACATGATTTTAAAAAGGGCTATATAGGATTTGAAATGCTTTAAAATTAAGATGATCATTATTGCGAGACTTTCTATACATTTTTGGTCGGAGTACTATATTTTCAAGATTATACCCTGTAATACTGCTGCAGCCTTTGTGTGTGTTGATATTTTTCAGCATTATACATTTCTAAATTTCCTCTGACATCATGAATGTGTTGCCCTTTGTGCCTGTTATATTGGCTGCCAAATTGGGGCCCATTGATCCATAGGTGATCTGTGGAGAGAAGGCAGGTCACTGATGATGATGACAGAATAGCTCCAACAGGGAATGGGAATCCCATAGTGGCAGGCAGTATGCTAAGAAAAGTTGCATCCCTTCTCCAGAAGAAGCAACAAACTCAAGAGAAGATGGAAAATCAGTGAAGAGAAGAACAGCATGATGGTTAACAAGCATCCTTTCCAAAACATGTTTTTTAATTGCTGGTGTATTTGCTTGTTTCTTTAAGCTTTTGAATTTTTGGGGGGGAGACAGTTATCAGAAATGAGAGGCGAGGAAGATGAAGAGTACTTCAAGAAGGGAAGAGACAAAATATTTATTACAGTACTCCAAAATGTATCTGTATTACTTTAATATATTCCCTTTAATCAATTTCGGAAGCTGCAACAGGGCTGTTGTGTGATCCTCAACTGGAAAGGATGTGGAGTAGTAAGAGGTTGCACAGGATGATCACAAATGGGTGGGAAATTGTTATACATGGGGTGGGGATGGAGACCCTATCTCCTTGTATATTTATTACATACAGTATAAACCGGTCTCTTGTCAATGTTTTGGCAGGAGTATTTGTGTGTTGCAGTGCATTCTGTAATTGGAAGTTCAGAACACCACAGAAAACTCTGAGCCCAGAGCTCAGTCTGAGCTGTTGAACTGGGATGGGAAAATGCTTAGGGCAATCACCCCGTGTGTGTGTGTGTGTGTGTGTGTGTGTGTGTGTG